AAGAAAGAGTAGTATATACTAGTAGTAGCAGTAATAAAACAAAATCGAATACAAATCTCAACAGGTGACGTAAATGTAAGATAAACTAGACGTGTCTAATCAGATTAAAAGAAGAAAACACATGCACTAATTAAAAATGAAAACTAAATCAATATGTCATGATGAAAGTTAGTAGTGATTGAATAAAAAAGAACAAAAAACGAAAGGCTTAGTGTATATCTCAGTAGGATATAAAAAATATGAAGCTAAATTATATGTAAATCTTTTTTTTCCTGCAGATTTTCTAGACTTGTCCAAAAAGAAGCATTAGAAAGCCTGGGAGTACTGGACAGCTGTTTCGTCTCAGTCTAGGACTCTTCACCAGTACGCACCGAGGTTCAAACCTAGGACCTTCTGGTTACAAGTTGACAGCCTCACCTTCAACCTGCTACACTGTACTGGTCATGGATTCCCACTAGAAACTTCGGTCACTGCCTGAATATGGCCAGTCACTAGTGAGCATCAGATGGATTTTCAAGTATTGGTTTTTTTGTAAGGATTTTATTTGATTGGTTGAAGAGTCCAAAACTAGGACGAGACTGCTGTCCAGTACTCCCAGGTTTTCCAATGGTTCTTTAACTGATGTCAACTCATAATGAAATCCTCCAACCAATCAAACAAAATCCCTACAAAAAAGTTAATAATTGAGAGTTTATCTTAAAAGAAGCTCGTGGTTTCATTGAGATATTATGATATCAACAAGCTCCTAGATTAAGAGTAGAATCCAAATCGCTCATATGTATTACTTTGAACATATTAGTTCATGTAGAATGAGTTGGAAATTATTTTATGAAGCCAGTCAGTCCAGACATTGATTAAAGGTGTCAGCTATTGTTGAAATCTAACTTTGAATCATTCAAATCCCAACAAACTAACACTTGAGAAGAATATACCTACAGAAGTAAAAGTTATAAGTAGTTAGTAGCTATAAACTGCAGCTGCCTTCACATAGCTTTGATGCAGTCATGTTTTAGATATATATATATTCAAGTGTTGGTTTGAAGGGATTTAATTGGCAACAGGATTTCATCACGAGGCGATATCTGTTAGACAACCAAAGGAAAACCTGGCAATACTGTTAACGAATATATCTATGTAGTAAGTTCATTTTGACTATTGTCAAAAGAAGTTCAGAATTAAAAATCATGTCCACAAATTCTAGTTTTAATACATTTGGAGTTCATATTTCGCGGATATTTGAAACGTACTTCTTTAGGCATAGGGTGTTGGTTTTAAATAAAATCTTATTGTGAATCAGTCCTACGGCAAAAAGGTTTTTCCCAGGCAGAAGAGGTCAACACTTTGTGCGTATTATTCTTCCGATGCACCAGTGAGCTAATATAAGAAACTACATTTTAGTTCTCATCTTTATTCATTAAATAGTTAGGAAAATGAGAATATTCCCAACATAGTTAAAATATGTTATAAGCATTATACCATGTCTTCTTATTTCTTCAGCAGTCTGGTCATCCCATTTCTTAGTGCTTATTTTTCCTGAGATTGCAAGACAACACATCGGTCAACTGGCTTCCAGAAGACTTTCACCAACCGGTATCATCCATTCTCCATCTTTCAGTGGATAACAGGTCTATTTCTCCTGGGCTTTCATTTTTCAGTCTCTGTGAGATAGTTTGTTACTTAGTAAGGTATTTATCCATACACCCAAACATCCCGACCTTTTACCCCTCTAGCTTCACTTGGAACTAAAGGAAAGGAAAACGTATTATATATGTCCAAACCAAGTTCACTTTTAACGCTTTGAAAAAATTTGGGCATTGGGTATATGATATTCATTATAATAGAGGTTTTTGTACTTCCCAATGAATGAAAAACAAAACGAGATTGTTTATACTGACGTTTCGCTATTTAATGCTAATAGCTTTCTCAAAGTATTAAATAGCGAAACGTCAGTATAAACAATCTCGTTTTGTTTTTCATTCATTGGGAAATACAAAAACCTCTATTATAATGAAAGGAAAACGTATTAACGATTACATGAACGTCATATGTAGACAATAAAGACGAACTATTAAGTTTTTGTGGTTTTATTCTTCCACTACTTGTTTTATTGAATCAATTCAATAGCAAAAGAAAAATTACATATTCAATAAATGACTGATATAAGTATAAAACTTGGGCACTGTGGTAGAGTATATCTCACATTGATTTTATAAATCCAATATCTAATCGATTCCACCCATGTATATAAATGAAAGAAAAAAGTTGTGTGAGTTACTTGATATGATTATGAGCAATAGTTTGTGCTCGAAACGTCATCAGTTAATATAAGTGTATAGCACTGTGTGATTTATCGAAATTAAATCTTGTCAATAAATGACTTACGGGTAAAAAATACAGCACTCATATACTGCGTGTAATCTTTATTGGAATGTTCTTTTCACATGTATTCAGGACATAATAACTAGTTAACGGCTAACTAAACAGGAATGCAGATTAACAATCAGTAAAAGAATATTACAAAATATCCAAACAGATTTTAACCTGAATAGTTGTATTGTTCTGTAACTTAAAAAAATCAAACTATTAGCATTAATGTAGTATATACCTAAATGTGTTTTCGTACAGAGAGACCTAAAACATCATTTGAAATCGGAAAAATTAATTCCAGATTTGTAAAGCAAGAATATTAGAGTTGTCGATAGTTGGTCGTAACACACTATTCTCTCTAGGCTTGGCCATAAACAGTCTGCAAGCAAAGAACCCAGTGGTGACCCTATTAGAATTAATGGAAAGCAGTTGCTAAGAGTACGTATCAGAGAGGAAAATGCATCATAGCAACAATAGCACCATGCAATTTTAAGGTATAAATATCATAAATATAATGTTACTTAATACACTTAAAGAATCTGAAATAACTTCTAACAGATTAATTTGATTATAACTTGATAATCATCCACCCAACAAGTAGTATTATCAGTCAGTGTGTTGCATAGATCTTGTCAAATGCTCCAAAATGCAAACAGTCATGACTCATGTATTAATGACCTTGTACGTGGATTAATGTGATTAGAAAAATGAAATCTGAGTAAAAAAAGTTTTACAGTGAACATGTATCACTCAAACATTCAATGTAGCATAATACTTTCTATAGGCGAAATAAAAAAGCTTCACCAAAGCTTTAAGCCACTGCTTCATTGCAAAACCTCAAAAACAGCTGCTGAATAATTTTTTTGTATCATTGCTGCTATTCATTCGTCATGTTCAGCAGATCAGCTGTATTGCACTCAGTATTCTGCCATTAATTCAAGCAGGTGCCAAGATTGTTCACACGAACTCTGTGTCAAACTTGGATATATTCCATACTCGTCGCTTTCCATTCATTGGAGTTCCACTGGATAGGCTATTTGCAGGTACTCTGACTGTTAGAGTTTCTTGTTACTTACCTTTTCTCTCAGGACATCTGATCTTCACCATAGGGAGGAGGCAGCTGCTAATGAAAATCTGAGGCCTGTTGGAGAAGCTTCAAATCTCTAAATTGTAGAGAAGCACCGCCTTGATATAATTGTGTTGGAATTCCAGATATTGTGCTATGTGTTTCGTTCTGTAGGTTTTTACAACGACTTCAAAGTAATCATCTTCTGTTTTGTCATCTGAATCCCATCCTGACTGGCTCAGATACGCCAGTTCTCGCATAGACTTGAGCTACCATTCTTTGACAGTTTGACGAGGTAGTTCTTATTCCAGTTCACGGATACACTGACTTCCTTTCATATCCTTTGCAACAGTGGCGTATGTTCGTCTAGGTGCCTGTCAGTCTTCAGTCTTCCTATGGAAATCCCATTTGATCTTGCTGATTTTCCGACTTTTATTAGTCTTATGGTATTCACAGCTTCTATTTTTGTCAGTGGATTAGTGGTTCTGTGACTGCTTGTGGTATTTCTGAACGATTTATAGGTGATGCATAATCCTAGAGTCATTTGAAGTGATGAGAACATCGTTTCCTATGTTCCACCTCTTTATTAACTCGGTTTCCTTCACTGTCTTGCGCTAACTTCGTATGAGTTGATCTTCCCAAGGAAACTTTCAAAAATTAAAATCTATATGAGGTATGGAATTGTTCTTAAGTCTAGAAAGCTCACCAGTCCTCAGTATTAAATAAATATGCCTATATTTGAAAATGGTAGTTAAATTCAGATTACCTCCGTGGAATTATTAACTTTAAGATATGTGTACTGACGTGTTATGCACAAAATAAAGTCCTCAAATGAAATCAGTAGCATGGTTATGATCTCGTTGTCTGGCGACAGTTTTGAACTATCATTTTGAATCTTCCGTACTCGACATTAATTTCTGCATGATAGTAATGAATATTTTTTATGTAATAGAGTTGTTAATTTAGGGATAAAATGTCCTCTCTGATAACTGTTCCTCATAATATACTTCTAATTATCACTGTGTTTTATGCATACAAATAAGGGCATGACAGTTTAGGATCGAAAACTTTTAATGTTTTTAACTAGCTGTTTTTTAAGTTACAGCTAGGCAAGTTAGCGATCATCGTCAGTAAAGGAACCATCAAAACTGGGAACAACTATTTCATACGGTTTCAAGCATATTTAGCGGCTCACACTCATTAAATAGCGAGACTTTTAAACTAGAACCATCAGTGTGCGTAGCCAACAGTTTGTAATTTCAAGTTGAGTAGAATGTGGGTTTTAAACTCTGTGGGCTGGTGAATTATAATAATAATATTTATTCCAAACAGTAATTTTGGTACATATATGAAATTTTCTGCATATAAAACAAACCTATAAATCAGTCAAAGTTTTCATTAGGCTAACATATTCGCGTTTTGTGAAGATCGAATGAACAAGCTTTTTGATCTAATGTGCGGGAATTCAAAAAATTTCAAAGTTGTATTAACTTTATTTGTTGACAGATGTTTATTAAGAATATTGTTATTATTCCATCTGTATTTTCCTTTATTTTTTGTTTTATAGCTCATCGTCTGGAAGAGAATCTCGAGGTAAGTAAATCTGAATTTTAGTCAAAAATTTCTAATTTTGTTCATCTAATTAGACGTTTAATAAAACCGAAGTAGGTTCACTACATAGTTTAAAGCTTCGAACTTAGCAGTAAAGTTTTTATGAATACATGTATGATAATTTTCAAGTATTGCTTTTGTAGGGATGTTTTTGTTTGATTGGTTGGAGGATTTCATTATGAGTTGACATCAGTTAAAGAACCATTGGAAAACCTGGGAGTACTGGACAGTGGGTGCGTACTGATGGAGAGTTGCAAACTAGGACGAAACAGTCGTCCAGTGCTTCCAGGTTTTCCAATGATTCTCTAACTGATAGCAGCTCATGATGAAATCCTCCAGAGCGTATGGTAAATTACGACTCAATAGAGAATTAATGTGATCTGACGCAAATTTCTCAGTTGAATAATTAAAGATAGCTTGAACTTATCATCGTCATAACGTAGTCAGTTAGAAAAATACAGTGAAGTTAATAAACCTCTTTGAAATGAAAACCTATTTAAAAGTTCATTCAGTGATTAAACGAAATTCCGAAGTCAGGCAGACTTTGCCCGATGTGCAGATTAGGGCGGCTTGGCCTGATTTAGACAAAAATTAGAAGTTGCCATTCTAAGATGCCAGCAAGAAGTAGCAAAACAAAGCCTTCATCCGAAACACTGTTAGGGCCAAGACAAGTAAATCAGGCACTCTATGCAGTGATTATACACACGAAGTAGAAATTGCACTAACATCGCTCCCGCGTAACATAACACATAGGCTGAATTGCAAATCTATGCAAACAAACAGATAAGCTGGGAGAACCTAAATACCGCCATTACATTCACAACATTAGCCATAAATTTATACCATAAGACGAAGAATAGTTGGTTGAACTAAAATTAATCTAAGTAGTTCCATATAGAAATACAGCTGGTTTCATTCTTGTCAAAAATTAGATAATAATTCCGTTTTCAATTGTCACTGTTACATTAAAGCAAAATATTCTGCTTCCATTATAATTCCACTGTTATAAACAAGAAAATCTTTTTGGTGAAAGTCTACTTTTATTATAATGGCTTTCCATTGAACAAAATTGCTGTCTCACATCCGACATTTCTGTATTTTTTTAACCTAAATAAAATTTAAAACTTTGTTTAAAGCTCCTACGATGCACTCTCTTCGGTACCTATGTTTAACGTCATTAAGACTGCGTTTTCGTGTAGCTTATGCCTACATGTTTAGTTTGTCGTCTTATTATTGTACAATGGTAGACTTTTAGTTTTTCTTAACAACCGATTATTATCGCCTTGTGTTGTTTGGCTGGCTTTATAAACTTGCTTCGTTCATGGTATTGCATTAGGTTTTCAAGGTAAGACAATATTTATTTTAGTTTCACCGACGATAATACTTGTTATATGGATAATAACTTAAACTCTCAGACGAAACTCGTTACTACATCCATTTACCGTAATAACGGGAAGGTAGAGGAATAGTTCTATTATTGTAGACGAATCTTTGATAAACAGTCAATATTTTTATCTCTCTCTTTAAAGAATGACATAGTATTTTATAGTGTAATGTAGATAACTAATATTGATAATAATTGTCATACTGACTGCAACACTGGGTGACGCGGGTTCGAATCTCAGAAGGGACATGAGTTCCTTCAAGGTTGCAGATACGCCTTGCTGACTGGTGAGTGCCAACCAGCGCAAAACCTAGATCCAAGGCTTCCTGTGGCCGACTGCCTCCATCTATCTAATGTCATCCTAAACAACAAAATTATTCTTGCTCAATTAGTCAGATAATGCTAAACTCTTATTTACACTTTCGTATTGTATCTCACTCTGGCAGTAATCTGCTTCACGATAACAAAGGACTGTTAGATTCGAGTATTTGAGTTTGAATGCAAGAGAAATAGAGAGGGATATTGAAAGCCAGCTAACTTGAATATGTCACGTGAGAACTAGAATAAGAAGTATTTCAATTGTCAATTTTTAGCCATAAATAAACAAAACTGTATGCACTATAAAACCTCGTGTGTGTGTACAGAAAGATAGGACAGTTTTCTCAATTAGGCAAAAACTATTTAGACGTTTATAACAATCTGATGATATGTGAAAATGAATATCTCAAGTTTAAATGTTTCAGACAGTAAATGCGTCTAATGCTGGAGGCTATATCATGGTAATGAGTGTACAAATAATGTAATTTTTATCGGAAAATCCAATAGATTTTGTCCAAAATGCGACAGACAACTAGAGAGTCGATTTTGTTCACTGTTCTACAAATTTTCTTTATCAGAATTTGTAAGATTTTAGTAGAATAAATGACTCTTCGTTAGTGGTTAGATACTCACATCTCGCGAATACCACAATCGGTAGTTTTCTTTGTCTGTCATATAAAGCCAAACTGAAATGATGAATATCGACGTGCTATCCAAACATTTGTGTGTTTGTTTTGCAAAGTCACATAGTTGAGGTTTTCACCACATATATGTGCTTTAGTATGTACAGCAACATAGAGTGGTCAATGTAACTGTCAAGTTCCAAGTTTGTATAGCGTAACAAATAAGGAATAAGACACTATTATAATGCGCGGCTCCACATTGACATCACATATATTAGATTTTTGAAGAAAATGTGTTGATACAAAGGTTTCTTGAAATTTGTAAGTACATCCGGATAATGTCCCACAAAGAAACACCTGGGTACAAGAACTCCTGCTCACGAGCTTCTGGTTTCAGTTTATATACAGTCCATCTTGTATACTTCACTGTAAGACTGAAAATGAAACACTCAGAGTCAAACATTAATATGAACATTAATACACTTGACAGTTTACGCTAACGAACTTCCTACCTTGTCGATTCGCCAGCCTACTCTTCTATTCCCTGTTGACAACAACAGTGACACGATACAATATCAGAGAATCCACGACTCAAGATGACAAGTAGACAGAGCCTTGGCGTAGAGAACGTTTACTACCTCGAATCAACAGCGAAAAGGGTTGACAGCAGCTGCGTTAATATTTGCTTTAAATGGCCTTAGGAGACACTAATTATGTTGATAAGTCAAAACAGTCAACAACCGATGGAGTCCCAAAGTCACAAATGTGGGAGGGGGGCAATACAAACAGCACTGTATTGTAAAGATAAATATAGTATTTTAAAAAGAAAGGTCCTGATAATGTCCCCAAAACACCTAGGTATAGGAACTCCTACTCAAGAGCTTCTGGTCTCACTTCATATACAGCCCACCTTGTATAATTCAACAAAAAAGTGAAAATGAAGCACCCAGAATCAAACATTTACATCTGGTGCTGCCTTTTTTAATTGTGTAATGGACTTAATTTGATAAAGTAATATTTCATTCTAGTTTTCGGTTCGTCATGATCTCTAAAAGCTTTAGTATATTATGTCGCTCACTACTGGTTCGTGTGATTTGATGATGCCAATTAACGTTAAAGTCTTTAGACCAATTACTGTAGAGGATAAAATATGTGTTCATGTATTGATTTTTTACAGTATTCTCGTCAGGTTATATGTTAACTTGCATTAAATGTAATTGCTGAGAGGCTGAAATTCGTTTCTTTAATATGAAATTATTACCAACTAAACCTTTCTTTCCTGAATCTTTTATATAAATGTTGGATATTGAAAACTAGATGAAGAGGCTTCGTAAAAAAAAATGTCGTATAAGGAATAAAGCAATACTAAACCATTCATTCCAAATTTATTTCTATACTATTAAATAAGAACTTTTACTGGAATGTATTCAAACACAAATGTTCTAATTGTATTTCAGTCCACCCAACATAAAGTCAATTGTTGGATGGTTACTAGCAGTGGAATCCAGGATACGCATTTTGTCCAATTTAGGACTCGTCAGCTGGATGTACCTGCATTCCCCAGTGAGTGATGATGTTTCCACCGAGGCTTGAACCCAGTGCCATAGTTTCAAACGCCAAAACGTTATCCACTGGACCACTTGGGCCATGAGAGCTATTAATTATTCAACCCAATTTAGATTTTCCCATCGACTGATTGGATCAAAGTGATCGGTCTCATGATGACATATTAGCGCTTTGTGCGGACAATTCGACGATTTCTGGTCAACTTACATGACGGGAAAATCTAAATTGCATCAGACGCTTAAGTTTATCATGAGTTTTACAGTAGTGGCTACATTCACTTATTCTACACATTTCTAAGCTTATGAATACTGACTGTCTCTAGTTTAATACCATCATATGAATTATTTTATGCACTCCAATTTTTAATGTTTTAAATCTGCAGTCTAACTATTTAGGAAAAATCATTTCCGACGAATAATTTACGCGAAATGTTATCAGACTTAAATTTCACATTCTTCATTTTACTACTTTTGTTGTAGGCTGTAGCAGTAAGTAATTTGCTCGTTGACTATGCCTCCATTAAATCATTTTCAGATAGTAAATTCCATAAAACACATTTAGATTTTGGAATTAGTTTGAAAATAAAGGGAGGTAATATAATTTTGGAGTAATTTTGTTTTTTCAATTGAAAGGAGACAAGTAATTAAAATGCAGTGTAAGTAATTACTGATAGTGATCAATTGTGAATCATCAAAATAAATAGAATTATCGCTACGATTACAAATGCTTCTTCCATTCTGATAAGAAATAGAAAGCATTTATCTTAAGTTTGAAGCGCTCAGCGTTTATTAGCACTATCAGTTGTTCAAAGTAACACACGAAGTTGCATTATATACCATAAGTAATGAATTTTGGTTTTCACTAAAACAATCACCATGATGAATTTCAATGTGTAAACGGTATATTTTCCGTCCCGTATTATACATGTAGCCAAAATATTAAATGTTAAAAAATATAAGAAATGTCATAAATAAGCCGATTGGTAATATATTCCTCAAGTAACTGAATAATGCCAGCTTTTCTTCTGAACAAACGTTTACATACTGTGTAGAATTATCAGCTTGGTTTAATCTACTCCATATGTTTTTATT